TTAATTTCAAATTAATATATTTTTAATATTTTCAAATTATTTTGATATGTTAATATTAAAAATAATTTTTAAAAAATAAAAAAATATTGTTGGCATGAATATTGTTGGCATATATTTTAATACAAAAAACTATTTAAAAACAACAGCAACCATTGTTTATATACATTTTAATACAAAAAGCTATTAAAAAACAACAACAATCATTATTTGTATATATTTTAATACAAAAAACTATTTAAAAACAACAACAACCATTATTTATATACATTTTAATACAAAAAGCTATTTAAAAACAACAACAATCATTATTTGTATATATTTTAATACAAAAAGCTATTTAAAAACAACAACAACCGCATTTCCAAACTTACTACTTATATTTGTACCCCGCTATTCTCAGCCGCCTTGGCAGCCCATCCTTCTGGCTTTTTGTTCCTCTGTTCTTATCAAAAAAATTTGTGGGTTCAGATACTTTGCTGCATATGCTAGCTATCCCGATGTTCATGATTGCGTAGGCCAGACCGGTGGATTTGTGGATTCGTATGCTTGTATGTTGCCCTTCATGCTTTCTTCTGATCATTATTTTGATTGCTGTAATGGGTTGCTCTTGTTTGTTAGAAGAGAGCAACGACAGGCTCTTCTGCATTATTATTTTGTTTGCAACACCACGACCAGACAATGCGTTGCAATTCCTAATCCCCGTCCACGAACTGCTCCATTCGCCGCTGCAATTGCCTATGATCCTGCCAAATCTCCTCACTACAAAGTTGTTCGCTTTATTTATTTTGAAGAAAAAACTTCTTGCCCGGTAAAGTTGGATATATTTTCTTCCGATACCGGAAAGTGGGTTAGGCGCAGGGTCATGTTATCCACTGAACTTCCTCATGCTGCTGCTGATGCAGATAAGTATGGTTGTATCAGGCGTTCTATTTATTTGGATGGAATGATTTACAAGCTATCCTTTGTCGTCAACTACCTCATCAGGTTCGACTTGAATGCGCCGAGCGATGTGGCTATTGAACTCCCGCACAAGAATGCCGCTGCCTGCCATGGATTCATTGGGATGTCTAGAGGAAGCTTGTATTATTCAAATCATGACGAGTCTGGATTGATGATCTCCATTTGGCTTTTGGAAGACCGTTGCAAACGTGATCCTTTTTGGAAACTCACACATCGCATCTCAATGGACTCCTTGACGTCCAAATATCCTGACGTGCGTAATTCAGGCTTTCATTTTCGTACATATGCTATTCATCCAGCTTCTGATATTATTTTTCTTGGAAACCCTAGCATGGTCTTAAGTTACGATCTTATCCAACAAATTCGAAGAGGTTTTTACATTGTCTAGCGGATTAAAAATATCATCGGGCCAGCATTTTGTACACCTCTACTCTCCCTGTTATGCTGTTTTGAGTAATTTTGATAATAATTGCAGTTAATAGTCCAGTTGCAAGCACTCTTTCTATAAAAAAACTATTTATCAGAGCTCTCTGACATGGCTAGTTATGGAATCTAAGACTTCAGGAAAGCTGTCTTGCATTGATGCTCTGTATTCTATTTTTTGAATTGACGTGCTGGTTTGATTAATTTGTTGTAATCTAAAACTGCTAATTCTTCGCTTAATTTGTTGTTAGGATACAAACTTCTTCGGCATTTGTATTCTATATCAATCAACAGAAGAAAAATCAACCATTTCTTCAAAATATAGACTGACATGGATTTGGGTTGCGATTAACCAGACAATATTGATGATCCGCCATGGAATAAATACATACAAACGTGTGTGAGCATGTTGGCCTACGTTTCCTATACACAGAAGAAGAAAAAACATAAACAAGTTCCACTGCAAACAACAATATTATTTCATTAAAAATTCCTATCCAACAAATAGGAATGATCGTAAACAATTAAACCACTTCTATGAGGATTTGAATTAAAGAGTTCTCCTTCTAAAAGATCCTTTAAGATTTAATGTTCTTCTCTAACTGAAAGCCCATACTCTCAGGTTACAAAGTAGAGATGCCCTGTATGATGATTTGACAATGACAATGGCATTTGATTTGATCATCTGAATTTCACGAAATGGTGCTTAAACTGATGGGTGAAATTTTTTAATGTGAACATATTTAATGTTGCTGCAGTATTAAAGGTCATTGATAGGTTGCTTTTTGTTAGCTAGATGGCTTGAGCTGATCTAACTTGATTGCTGCAGGTCATTTGCAAGAGTAATGAGTAAAGGTATTAGGAAAATAAAGCTTTTAATGCAACAAAGCTTGTCTCATGGTGCACCTAGTCCCAAAGTGTCAAGAATGGTGGAAGTACTTCAGCGAGTTGCATCCTCTTTCTTGAACATAAAAAAAAAAATTGTAGTTTTGGATTTGCATGCCAGTCTTTTTACTCCCCCTTTACACTTCTGCCTTACTATGTTAGAAACTTCAATTCTCAACTGTTAAGAGTCACAATAGGAGGGGCCCCTGATCAAGCTGGAAAACTTGTGCTATCATGTTAAAATTTGGTGGGAAAAAGGAACTTGAGCTGTTACAGTTAAAATTTGGATCTAAAGGAATTAAACTATGTTGCTGTTTGATAGAATAAATGGTGCAAACATTTGCAGAATCTAAATCTACATAGAAACAAGGGAAGAAATGATAAGTTTATGCCATCACAGCTACGACAAGAAGGCAGTCACACCTTCATTCAAGCTTCAAACATCCTGAAAATTATTGTTAATGGATATTCTATTGTTTGAAAGCATTACATAGACATAGATAGCATTTTTAATTCTTGGTTTGACCTCAACATCTAACTAGAAAATGCAACTGCATTACTTGAACAAACAAATCAAAGACCAGAAATGAAAGGTTTCGCGACTTTGACTTTTTAAATTTTGGGTATCTGTTGCTTCTTTCTCCAGCAAACCTGGAATCTACCATTATACCTTCGATCTTTAGATAAGAATTCTCGTACTGAAGCTGAAATAGCTGCGACTTGACTTAATACTTGGGTTTGACAGATGAGTTCTGCAGATAGAGGTGAGTGGGTCTACGCAAGTATTATAAATATTTTTATTTTTATTAATATTATTAATATAATTATTAATAAATTTAAAAAAAGATATTATTATTATTGAAAAACAACTATACAGATTTAATTTAAATGATAAAATTAAAAATTATTGTTATTTTTTTTTTAAATATTATTATTACTAAAAAAACTTTATATTTGATTTGAAAAGTAAAATTAAAAATTATAAGAATTTGAACAAACATATTTAATATTATAAATACTATTATTAATAAATTATAAAAAAAATATTATTATCATTAAAAAAAATAAATTTAATAAAATATATTAGTACCTTGAACTAAAGTCGTTGCCAAGTTTAAGGTGGCCCCGTCATATCCTTGTATAGCCTGAATTTAACTAATTGTGGAGTTCAAATATACGTTGGATTTAATAACTATCAAATACAACTGGAATGCCACGTCTAATTACCAGTCGCCTGAGACTCTAAAGACAAACTATCTCACCTTTCCC